TTTGAAAACGTTTTATATTGCACTAATTCTCAATGAAGACATGATCACATATGGAAAAAATAAAAGGTTTAATTTTTTTTTTTTTTTTTTGATTTCTGCTTTTCACTTTTTTTTTTTTGGAAGAATTTCAAAGATAAAATATATTTTGAGTTCTATCTGCTACAGAAGCTGAGATATCAATAATTTACTAGGCGTTGACACAGTTGCTGAATTTACAGAAAAACTTCAGGTTTTAGGGGTATTTTTTGAACTCGCCCATAGGTTTTTAAGGTGTTTTTTCCAGGCGTTTTAGGCCTAAATGGGTTAAATACCTGTCAAGAGTTCAAGGGGAGCTGAATCACTTGGTCACATGGTTGGCGGAGTAGCGAGGCCTTGGACGTAATCTATTTAGGCTCCTCCCCAAAATAAAGCAAGCCTCGATACGCGCCTCGCGGAAACGCCCCCCTCCATTACTCGACACACGCCCCGTAGCCTCGGCTCATCTCATAACATCACTACTTAAAACCATGGCTGTAAACTTTTTTGATTACCCAAAGAAACCATAAAAACAAAAAATGACCCTGAGGGAGGACTGCAGCTCCTGGATTTTTAAAGTAAGATGTCATGAACTGTTTGTATTTTTAAAGCATTTAAAGGATATTCACATACTATCTTATGATAAATCGCATGTGATTTCAAACGGTAAGGTTCATTTGGTGCGCGATGTCGTTCGTAGCTCACCCTAATAGAGCAGCTGATCAGACCGTCTCTGTTGTGGACTTTGAGCACTCTTTCAAACAGCTGGTTACGAGCCACCTCGTCTGTGGCCATCTGACCCTCCAGAAGGTCCACAGGCTCAGAAACACCACCTGTAAAATCCACCAGTGCATCGGCTGTGTTTCCCCCATCCAGAGCCTCATAGCAGCCATAAACCCTGCAGGGAAAGAAGCAGATTTCTTTTTTTTAATCTCCCCTCATCTGAGATAATATTTCTACTGGTACTGATACTTACTTGGCGTAGGCCTTTTCCACCAGAGCGCTCCAGAACTCATTGCTGTCATTGGAGTGGCAGTAGACTAGCTGGTTGTCCACCGTAGGCAGCCGGTCGTCAATCACCACGTCCATCCATTCCCCAAAGCGCCAGAAGCGGAAGTGGAAAATCCCAGCGTACGAGTCTGGCTTTTCTGTATCCCACTCCTGCTCCTTCCAGTCCGGGATGACCTAAAACCAGACGGTGAAGGACAAGGTGACTGTAGTAAGTCTATAAATTATAAGAATGGGTTTGGCAACAAAAGTGTGATCCCTTTTTCTGCCGATGCATTTAGTGATGGTTTAAAAATCTATATTCTTGATTATCTCTTAAATTACGCTGTAATCTGGCATTGACTGTTGGATATAAAAAGGCTGCATTAATAGGATGCATTTAATCCCCTTCCTTTTAGTGAATTCAGCTTTATTCACGAAATAGAAAGTATCAAACCACAACTGTTACTAATGAACTTTTATAAGGCACTTTTACAGTTATTGTTGCATATATATATATATATATATATAGTTACAAATGTATATATTTATATTTTTAGTGCGGAAAGTTGTATTGTATTTCTTTGTGTTGTATTTTATTTCTTTAGATGATGAATGCATCCAATGTGTTGTTTGTATAACTGGAGTGTGTAACGAAGTTAATTAGTATTTTTGGTTCTGATTCTGTGCAGAAAGACTCAAGATCTGGGCTCAAACCCAGAACCTCCTGAACCTTAAAATCCCACATCTTCCATCAGCGCCCCCCACTGCCCCGCCCCGCTGGGCTCCAGACCGTCTGCGCAAACCAAGGTCTACAGCCTCCGTGGTTCCTCTAGCTCTGCTCCGACTTCCCTGGAGCTCGAGAAGAGGATGAGCAACTTTATTATTATTATTAAATTCACAGCAGCAAAACATGCAGAAATGAACGCTTAAATTAATATGACATTAGAAAAAAAAATCGCCATGCGCATCCAGCATATGTTTAGTTTCGGCCCAAATATTTTCTTTTTGTTGTGTGTTTTTGTAACAGGGATAACTGGAATCATAAATGGTTTGTATGAACTATGTTCGTTCTCTACTTCCAAACTTAGCGTCTCTTCATCCATGCCTGCGATAAAAAGTTTCTTTTGAAGTTGTGCGATGTGTTCTTGGAAGTTTTGACTGGATTTGGTAAAAAAAAATTTAAGCCTCTCGGTATAAAACAAATATTTTGATTGAAATGAGCCGAGTACAAAACATAGAGAGGAAAACAAGAAGAAAAGGGACAAGAAGAGAGGGACACAACCTAGAACAGATAATGGATGTCTGTTGCTGGTGAAGGTTCTCAGTCATCCAGGTCTTAGTAAAAAGAAAATTAAAAACAATCCACTGGACTTGGTTTCCAAGTTTGAAGACGATTCGCTTCCCATCCAGGAAGTTTCTCAATTCAAACGTAGAATGTAAATCTATTCTATTAAAATATCTGTATCTGTATAAAGGGTCTGTTTTATGTGTTGTTTTCTCAATTCAGAGGGCCCCCTGCCTGTCTTTGCCTAGGGCCCCAAATTTCCTAAATCTGCCCCTGCTGTACATATTGCAGTATTTGGCTTCAAACTAGGTGCCTTAATGCTCAAGGAGGCTTCAATTAAAATCCCTTTTTCCAGTTCAATTCCCAGAGATTCCCCAATGTTCCCAGATCCAGGAACCGCTCCAGGCTTCAAACTATATAATTTCGATTCCCCTTTATTATTTACTCAGGTTATCTGTGTTTGATGTTAAAATTTCCCAGATGGTTAAACATTTAACTGCAGTAAAAAAGGGGTAAATACGTTGACAGCATTGGAACCTCCATCAGTAACAGAAACTGAATGCTGTGAGTGACGCCACAGCCGAACTATATGACAGCCCTTCAATGGATTTCCCTGGAGATGTCAGGTTGTACCAACTGAACAGCAGCTCCTGTCAAAGCTCCCTGCAGGAGGGGACTTAGTGCTGATGGACGGGCCTGGCCTCCTCCAGGGAGGAGAATAGGAACACCTTTTGGATGGTAATCATCTCTGCCCTCAGTGATCTATGCCTCACTTTGGGGGAAACCTTATTCTGTCTTCGCTTTCATATGTTGTGAGGCATAAACTGTACTCTGGGGGTAAGGTGATTCATCTTAAGAGGCCTGCCTTTTGTAACTCTGAATCTTTTTCTATTAGGGATGCAGGATATTGGGATTTTGGCCGATATCCGATATTTTAAAACTCATGTAGCCGATAACCGATATCGATA